CCTGATGACAGAATGGTAGAATATACAGACTTGATCTCTTTGAAGCAATATTTAACTAGGAAAACCTCAAATTTTCATTTATATCTTTAAAATCTGAATGGAAACTGAAATTTTTATTTTTTTGGTTTTTCGAGACAGGGTTTCTCTGTGTAGCTTTGTGCCTTTCCTGGAACTCACTTGGTAGCCCAGGCTGGCCTTGAACTCACAGAGGTCCGCCTGGCTCTGCCTCCCGAGTGCTGGGATTAAAGGCGTGCGCCACCACCGCCCTGCTATGTTGTTTAAGCTGGTCTTGAAACCTGTACTCAAGCAAACGTTTTACATCAGCTTCACAATTTACACAAACACACACACACACCATTCTCCCTACAAAAGACCTTTCTTCCTTTGTATTTTGCTCATTTATATAGCATCATTGTTTAGAACAATGCCTGGCACGGTGGCCAGACCCCAAGGTTGGTCCTTAGTAATCTCCAAATCCTGATATTCACACCTTAGCAAAATCTCCCCACCACAAGTAAGTCAGGGTCGGACCTATGGTTTGCTCCCAACCAACAGATGTCAACGGATATGTGAGATGTCATTGTCATCATTAGATTTGATTAGGTCGTGTTAAGTATCACTCAGCATATTGGAGTTAGACATTCTTTTTGTAGGCCTGGTGGTATAGATGTCCTTGTTGATGATCCATGGGATGAGGCAGTGTGAGTGGCCTCTAGAAGCCCAAATGCTGTCTTAGTCCAGAGCAATAAACCAGGCATAGAGCCACAGCAAATTAATTGTTCAAGAAACTTGAATGAATTTTGAAGTAGATTTTTCTCCAGTGGTGCCTCTAGATGAGAATCGGCCTTCTCACACTCTGTTGCTCCGTGAAACTGAGCCCTTGAGCAGAAGGCCCAGCCTGGACAAGTTTGGATCTGGAACCACAGAAGTGGGAGACCCTGAATGTGTGTTGTTTTTAAGTCACCAATTCTGTGTATTTTGTTATCCAGAAAAAAAGAAAGAAAGAAAGAAAGAAACACAAAAAACTAAAGAACCTGGTATGGTGAACTAATACACATGTGTGTTATGCGGAAATAATTGTTTTATAGATTCATGAATTTTAAAGTTATTGTACGCACATACTACTTTTGTTTATTGCATTAGCTTACAGTTTAAAATTTTATCAAACCTCAAGCATGCATAGCCAAGTCACACTTTTTGGTTCACAATGAAGATACCATCAATCCCATCACTGGTTGTGAAACACCCCTGTCTTGCACTCATTTCTTCTTCCCTTTATTTCCTAAGACTACCCGTCTTAGTTTGGGGTTCTGTTGCTGTGATAAACCACTACAAACAAAACAAGTTGGAGAGGAAAGGAGTTATTTCAACTTGTGCTCAGGTCACATTCTGCCACTGAAGGAAGTCAGGCCAGCAATTAAAGGCAGGGACCCGGAGGCTGGAACTGAGGCAGAAGTCACGGAAGAACACTGCTTACTGCCTTGCTCCTGGAACTTGCTCAGCCTGATTTCTGGATCTACTCAGGACCACATGCCCAGGGGGGCTCATCAGCCCTGTGGTCTAGGCACGTTCACATCAATTATTAATCAAGAAAATGCTCAAAGCCTTGCCTACAGGTAATCCAGATGGAGGCATTTGCTCAACTGAAGGTTCTGTTCCCTTCTTAATTTATGTCAAATTTACAAAGAGCCCAATGATGACATCACTCATGAGTGTGTGTGTGTGTGTGTGTGTGTGTGTGTGTATTTACACACACATTTTTTTTTTTTTTTCATTTCTAAACATTTTTATTTCAAATCTCTTTTCATCCCTCCCCAAAAAGACATGGGTCGGTACAGCAATCATAAAAAGGAGATACAAACACAAGAGTCAAATGTCTCCCGCACTGACACTTACAAAAAACTGGGAATTATACACAGGGTTTCCAAACAGGACCTGCAGCAGCTACTAATGTCCCTTTACAAGAGTCAAACATGCCTATTAATACAGTATTTACAGACACCCCATTCTGGAACTAATCTACAGGGACATCCCAACACCCACCCCTCTATGCCCAGAAAAATACCAAAACACACCCAAAGTGCATTTGTTTTGTTTATATCAAAACATCTTTCCCTCTCCCCATCCCACCCCAGACCCCCCACCCATTTAAGATTGGCCTGCAAGTCTATTTTAACCATTTAGTTATTTTTTATACTTTATGAAAATAAATTATACAGCAACTATTTTAATAAATTAAGCACAAAAAGGGAGAATAAAGGAGGAAAACTAAATGGGAAGACAGA